CTCAGCACCGCTGGGCGGGGGCAACGGGAACGGGTTTATGGTCGTTGGAGCTTCTCCCTGTCACGGCTGAGCTGAAACATCCTCCTGGCAGAACCCCCGTCCTGACAGCTCCGCTCCCCTTCCACCCGACACCTGGGGCCGTGCCCGGCGCTGCAGACCCGGCTGCGCTGCCAAAAAACCGTTTTCCCCAGCGAGGTGTGGGGCAGGAGGGTGCCGGGGGTGGGAACGTGCCCTGATTCACAGCGCGGTGTCCTGCCCTTGGGAGCTGCCCTTACCAACGGGCACTCTCCTGCCCGCTCCTCTCGGTGCTGCAGCTGCAAGTTAAAGGTGCCTGGTCAATAGAAAACGGATCTAAAATCTTAGGAATCATTAAAAAAATCCCTCTTTAAGCTCTTCACCAAGAAAGGAGGGTGCCGGGGGTGGGAACGTGCCCTGATTCACAGCGCGGTGTCCTGCCCTTGGGAGCTGCCCTTACCAACGGGCACTCTCCTGCCCGCTCCTCTCGGTGCTGCAGCTGCAAGTTAAAGGTGCCTGGTCAATAGAAAACGGATCTAAAATCTTAGGAATCATTAAAAAAATCCCTCTTTAAGCTCTTCACCAAGAAATGTTGCCAAACGTGGGCGGTGAGAGGAGTGGGAGCCCAGCTGTGCTGGTGGAGATCAACTCCCCTGCCCACGTCCTGGGCACAAAACGGGGTCCTGGGGGTGAGCAGCCCAGGGAGCCCTGCTGCCCAGGCTGGGAGAAGGGGGAAAATAAACCAGCTCAGGGTAAGGAGGGGTGCAGGGTGTCCTGCTTCTGCATCGGCACTGCTATTAACAGAGGCACTGCCAATTATCTATTCATCACGAGAAGTGGAATTTCACAAGGAAAATAAATTGAAGACAGGGTGTCCGGAGCGATTTGTTCCTGGGCTGTCAGAAACAGGCTCCCTGCAGTGCAGAGCGAGGGGAGCAGAGCGTGGGGCTGGGAGGGGGACCACGCCAACCCCCTCCCCAGGCACCTCCGTGCCTTCCATTGCCTCCCTGTCCCCTGGGCAGCAGGACTTGCCCAGGTCACGGGTGTAGTCCGAGACTGTACGGAGGCGTATGCAGCTTGCTGAGCTCTGTAATAAGCCCTGACAAAGAGTTTATTCACAGTAAGCAAGAGGAGGAATAAAAAAGCCACGTCTGACTCCCAGCACCCATGAGGTTGGGGTGCCAGGGCTACATCCAGCCCCGGGTGCTGGATGCCAGAGCAGCAGCCCAGGTTCAGCTGCACCCGCACGGCTCCTGCCCCGGGGCTGGTGACGTTAATGGCAGAACTTTGGCCTTTCTGGTCGAGCTGGCTGCTTCCCACAGCGGGTGCCACGACAAGGTCACTGCTCACGCTGCCACTTCTTGTGCCCCACAGATCCTCCCCGGCCTCTACCTTGGGAACTTCATCGGTAAGTGGAGCCCCAACACCGCAGAGATGTCCTCCAGCCAGAGAGCTGGCCTTGCCTGAGTTCATGCCATGCTGCCTGCAAACACTGCCCAGCACCCTGCCAGGACCCACTGCCCCGCCAG